GCTTGCTCACGGCGGACAAACTCTTTGAGGGAAAGCTCGAGTGCAAACCCGACACCAAGCCGTGGTTTGTCTTGGGATGGGACGTGGAGTGGTACTTGGATGCCGAGGCAACGTACGATGCGCAGAAGGAAAAGTGCAAAGTCGCCCAAGACATTGTCGACCAGTTCGACAAGAAGTGGAAGCCCGGGCCGAGTGAGGACCACGTCGTGCTGCTGACCCACGACTACTTTTTTGTGGACGAGGCGAAAGCGTCTATCTTTCGAAACGTGATAGCTGAGCTGCAGCTTCTCGGGTATACCATTGGCACGTTGGATCAGTACCCCCTCAAGCAATAACACGCGAGACAGATGCAACCACAAGTATTTACTGTTGACACCAGTATACAGTGTGTCCAGAAATTATAGACGCACCTAAATTTTCTCGAGTTCATCATGATGACATCCGATTCCCCTCTCTCTGCATGGTGCTCTGCTAACACAGGCGTATGTAAAAGTACTGTATCCCCTAAGCGGGTTTCACCAACAGATGTGTTGAGATCCAGAAATTAATTATAGACGCATTTTCAAAGGGTCAACTATTTTGTGAATACAGTTACCGTGACGCAAAAGAACTTGAGCCATGCGAGTAGGCATGCCTTCAATCAAGTCTTGTAAGTACTCCTGCTCGATTTCGTTCCATGAGACCAAGATTTGGGCCTTCAGACTCGCCTTGGTCTCGAACTGCCGCCCATTTGCATATACTTTTCTTGCCAGAGCACCCCAAACGTTTTCAATTGGGCTTAAATCGGTGTTGTCTGCGCCGGCTTGCACAACCAGCTACCGTGCTCACGACGGTAGACTTCGATGACAAATCCAAAAGTGTCTTCATTAACATTCAGGTTATGTGCCCATCAACCAGCGAATCACTTCGCTGTAATCCAGGCATCCCAGTCAATACACTTACAGTGTAACCGAGGGAGGTTCGGTAAGTCCTAGCCTGGGCCTAAATAGGATCCACCGAGGGACTAATTAGTTGCTCCCTCGGTGAGTCTAAAAATAGAACCCGACTGAACTCACTATCAACTGCACACTTGCACGGGTAGTTGATCCGAGGCACGGCCGAGAACACTTCCCCATACAACGGGTGGCCAAACGCACGCTCCATGTCGTCAAGCATTTCGCCCACACCGTAATCATCAAGTCGGCTCATAGCCCAGCGCCGAAAGAGTACTGGAACGTCTTCGTAGATGGACAAAGCCGGCTCCCAAGATGACTCAAGATCATCAAGACTGAGCCACTTGACCTTCACTTGCCAGGCACCATCACTCATACGGAGGTCTTGAACAGCTTCAACGTAGAAACCTTCATCACCGAATGCAAATTGCATTCGGAGGCGGCTGGTATGGTGCAAAGACGTTTCGCCTGGTGACACCAGCTGTTGCACATCCAAAAGATGGTCCGAGACCACCTTCACGACACGGCATGGTGCTTTCCAACGCAAGGATAACTTGCCCGGATGCTGAAGCGCCGGAGCCACGAGAACAAAATCGCCTAAAGCAAACCGGGCGAACTTAACCGAGCGCTTGCCATTGCGCTTAGTTCTGGCCTTTGCGCGCTTCAAGCCGGCTGTTGCTACTACCGTTTTGTGCATCGTACACAACGCCTCGGCAATCCCGCTTATATGGCGTGTAGTCTCCGTTTTCACCCAGTCGATGGTAGTTTCGCGGGCTTCCTCGGGATGGACTAAGCCAGACAATGGAGGAGTCGCCGGGAGGCCGGTAAACGCTGTCGTAGGTGCAATTCCGCCCAGACGGTCGGACGGTTGTTGGTTCAAAACCGATTAGACTAGCGGTAACACCATAGGCAACTCCGTGGGCCGCAGGCGCATCTCGCTGCACAATGCCTTGAGTGTCCGCACGATGACTCGGTTCACCACCACGACCGTTGCATTCGCCCATGGGCAGTGAGGCGTGACAAAATGGTGATGGACCCCGAACATCCGACCCATCGTGTTAATGAGTTCGTTCTTGAAATGGGACCCACAGTCGGACACCCAGGTCTTCACAACACCGAACAGACCGAACCACTCTATCAGCGCCGAGGCGGTTTCGACAGCCGTTGCTGATGCACTCGCGTGGAGGCGTACGAACTCGCTCATATCATCTTTGATGACTAGCACATTTTTGAGGCCACCCTCGGCCTCCGGAAACGAAACCCAGTCGAAATCGATTAGCTCGTTGGGCTTGGTCGCATGCAATGCTTCGCCCCAAGGCCGAGGCACAGAGTCTCCGTCGACCACTATGCAATGGAGACATGCGCGGATGAAATTCTTCACGTCGGCTTTCAGGGTCGGCCAATCGAACATGTCGGCTACCGAGGCATTTGTTGCTTCCACGCGGCGGTGACCAGCCACGCCCGCATGAGCCACCACACATATGCGCACTTGCATGCCCAGCGCATCGTCAGGGATCCAAATCTTCCCCGAGTCGGACAAAAAAGATTTCTTCTCGGCGCTCCAGGTCGAACATCGCTCACGCTCGGGGTGTTCACGTTGTAATGCCGTGATCGCATTCGCCGTCGGCCATACGAATTCCTCGGCACGTAACGGGGAAACTAATGCCAGTTTCTGCATTCGGGCGCCTCGGTCGGGCCCCGCTAAACTGCCCCATCTGCTGAGGAGGTCGGCCCACAGATTGTCTTCCCCAGCGACACATTCCACCACATATGGAAATGTTGTCATAGTCAGCGCCCACCGCTGAAGCTTGTAGGCCTGATAGTTGGCTATGTTCGAGTTCGACCCCAACGGGTTGAACATGTATGTACACTAGGTTGCGATGGTCGGTAAAGAGCCGAAAACCGCCGGGCCGAATCAGAAGGTATTCCAATCCATTGCAGGACTCAACCACCGCAAACGCCTCCTTCTCGCCAATCGGCCATCGCTCGCTCGAACCTCGGAAAGCGCCACTCAGGAAAGCCAACGATTCGTGTCGCTGGTCATTTGCAGGCAGTGCGAAATCCTCGGAGGGGACCTGAGTTGCGACTGCCCCCCAAAACCCCTCGATTGCATCGGTGTAGAGGCACACCATCTTATCAGGGTCCGGGTGGGACAGAGGCACCATGCGCTTTAGCGTTGCTTTGACCCGCTCGAAACAGGTCAAATGATCCTTGGCCCATCCGACTGAACTCAATGCCACTCTTGTCAACAGGGTTTTCTTGCGGGAGTCGGCTGCTTTGGCCGCGATATCCATCAACCTCGTCAACGGGGCAACTAGCTCGGTGTACTGAGGGATGTTCGCACGCATCCAATTCGTCGCGCACAGGAACGAGTCAAATGTTCGTGCACACAAGAATTAGGGAATCACAGGTAGAAATCTGGGGAACACACACGTGTATCAAAACACAAGGGAATTGACCTAGCGTTACAGTAGCGAGCGACGACAGAGCATCCGCCCACAAAATTGCGCGCACCGCAGCGCAGCGGAGGCCGTGTGTATAATTTGTGCAGGCGGTGCCTTGGCGAGGAGTGAGCCCCAATCGTGTACTTCACCGAATGTCCAATCGATTCCTCTCGTCGGGAAAAGCGGCAGGTAGGCCGCAGGCCGTGCCGCTCCCAGACGAGGCCTGTGAGGACCAAATTACCTTATATAGTATTTGTAACGTTACAGTTTCATGTGATTCCCCATTTTCTACCTGTGATTCCCTAATTCTTGTGTGCAGAGTTTCTGTACTCCACAGGAACTGCTGGAGGTCCGCAGCAGTGTGCGGTGGCTCGAGCCCGCACAGGCCTTGCACTCGGCTCGGCGAGAGCGCTACACCCTCAGTGGAAATTTATTTCCCACACCAGATCGTCCGGGTCGTGTAAAACGTGCATTTGCTCGGATGCAACTTCAAACCGGAAATGTGGCAGATCCCCAGGACTTGCCGGAGCAACTGCAAAAGCTCCGTGGTCATACCGGCGTATCCCAGTAGGTCGTCAAGCCACTTGAGGACACCATGCATGAGCAGATCGCCGAACAGTTCGTCGACCACACCTTGGCAATAGGCCACTGCGTCAGACTGTCCCATTAACACCCGGGTCGGCGTAACAACACCGACCGGCGTCATGAAGGAGTAATACTCCTGGGAATCGGGGTGTAAAGGCAGTTGCCAGTAGCCCTTCATCCAATCCAGCGTAAAGTAGACGCGCGAGTCCTTTAGCACGCCCATTGCGACGTCGAGGTTAGGCATCGGCCAAGGCATCGGCTCGGTGCATGCATTGATTGGCCTCGAGTCAATCGTCATCCGCAGGTCGCCCGGATCTTTTTTCGGGACAATCCTCGGGGCCGCCGCCCAACGTGACCGAGTGTTCCGATACACTAAGCCCGCCTCTTCTAACTCCCGCACATGTTTCTCGAGAAACGCCATGTGGGTCGGAGGGTAACGCCTGAGCCCTGACTTCACCGGTACGGACCCCAGTTTGAGGTGCACCTTCAAAGGCTCCACTCGGACTGGAGGATCTCGCCCAAACCTCAGGCGGAAAACATCTTGAAACTCCAGCAGGAGGTCTTGGAGGGCTTCAATGGCAGGTTCTTCCATGCCGTCAGCTGCTGCCTCGGCCACCTTGGCCATCAAGACGGTACGAACTGCCTCGGCGTCAGCTAGACTAGGTATCATACCCAATTCTGCCGTCGCGCAGCACATGCCTTCGTCGTCGTCAATACCGTCGGACAGCTCCTCCATGCGGAGTGTCCGATGCATCGCTATGCCAGGCGTCGTGTCCGGCTGATCGGCGAAGTCCCATACCGCCTGCTGCCGACGCGCGTTCTCGAGTAGTGTCTGCTCACTATACCCGAGCTTCTGC